TGATATAGAAGATTTAACGTGCGCTTTCCGACTGTAGCGTATTTCGCACACGGGCCTGGCCGGGCCATTTAGTGTATTCCTAAAAGGGTGAAAGTGGTGTGTGCAACCCCAGAGGGGGCTTTTAGGGGTTGCTTATATTGAATATTTGGTATTTTTAAATTTGGAATAAATGCCGCGGTGGGTGGAGGAGGGAACTAAGGGAGCCGGGTGAGGTGGGTGTTTGTATGTTTATTGGATTTGGGATTGGTAGATTAATGAGTGTTTAAAGGCGCTTAATTAGATCTGTTTTGATTAGGAATACGCCTAGGGCCTTGATGTTTTCTAGTTTATTTTGAGGGTTTAATATTTCATCTAGAGTAGGAACCTTATTTAGATTGAGGGTGGTTTGTAGTGTGGTTCTGTGTGTGTGGTAGTGGGTGCAGTGGATGAGTGCGTGTTCTGTTGTTTCGGGTTGTTTGCAGTGGGGGCAGTTGCCTGTGGTGTGTCTTTTAAGTTTTTTTAGGTGGTTATTTAGGTTCGTGTGTCCTGTTTGGAGTTTTGTAATTAATCTGTCATTTTTTTTTAGAGGGGTGTAGGATTTTAGGTTTGGCTAGTGGTTTTCTGAGTACTTTTTTGATTTGGCTATTTGAGTTTTGATATTGATTATGCCATTTTTTGGTAATTTTTTGTTTGTTAAAACTTTTAATTTCTGATTTTGAGATGGGTAGGTTTAGGCTTATTTCTGGTATTTTGAGAGATAATTTAGCTGCTTTATCGGCGCTTTCGTTGCCGTAAATTCCTACGTGGGCGGGGATCCACAAGAAGGTTATTTGTTTGCCTGCTTTTGTTAGGTCGTTGGAGCTTTTAAGTATTTGGTTTATTAATTTAGGTGGGTTTTTGGTATTTTTGTTTTGGAGGGCTTGTAGTCCACTAAGGGAGTGGGTGAGAATTAGGATTTTATTGTTGTTTTTAGATTGTTGGTTATGCAGGGCTGAGGCCATGCCCATAAGTTCGGCCGTGAATATAGATTGGTTGTTAGGGAGTCGGTAAGATAGTGTGGATTTAACTGGTTGTGTGGTTTGGACTCCGAAGCCTGTGTGGTTGGAGATCGGGTCTGAAGATCCGTCCGTGTAAATGTGACACCAATTTGGCCAATTTTCGTGTATGTATGCAAGTGTGGTGGTTTTAGCTAAGTTTGGGTCGGTTTGTTTATTTATTTGGTTAGCTAGCGTTGTGTCTGTATTTGGTATTTTAAGTTTAAGGGTGAAGATATTTGATTTTTTGCAGTTTTGTTTAAGATTTTGAGTTTGGTGTTCATTGAGGTAGTTAGTTATTTTGGGGGATATTGGGGTGAGTAAGGGGTGTTTGCGAGCTAGAGCTTGGTTTCTTGGGCTAATGTTTTGGTTAATTAAGTTTTGGATGAGAGGTTTTGTTTGGGACGCGGCCCAGAAATTAAGGTTTAGATGTTCCCTGCGTAGATTTAGTGGCATTTCCCCTGTAAGGGCCTGAAGTGAAGTGTAGGAGGTGCCATGTTGGGTGCGTGTAATTAGTTTAAGGGCTTGGTATTGTATTGAGTCAAGTTTTTTAGATAGAGAGTTGTTTAGGGTATTGTATATGGCGCAGCCGTAGTCTAGTTTTGATCTAATATACAGAGTGTGGTTGACAAGTATGTATACAAGTAGGAAGCAATGTTTATACAGTAGAGTAGATATTGTTATACTGGAGTATTGAAGCCTGTTGTGTACACACAAGGGTAGTGATGACAATCATCGATGAAGTCAGTGACAGAGAGAGATAGAGAGAGAGAGAGAAAATATTTTATTAAGATGTCACTCGCAAATAACATATACAATATAAACAATTATCATCGGTATTGCACCCAGCCTTTACAGGCTTATGAGACATCGTATGTACAATAAAACATTATAAAAGTATCCAAGTAAAACATTGTAAGCTTTTTTCTTACATTGTACCTTCATCGTTTCTTATTCCAGCAGCCAAGGAACTGTCAATTTTGTTGGACGCCATATTCTAACATTATATGTGCATATTAAGATCGCAAGTTACCAAATGGCTGAATGAAAATGATAAGAAAAATAACCATCAAAACACCTATTTATGTGTATGTTACCACCAGTATGATTAAACCACTTGATTAGTACATACGTGCAAATTTTAAATGTTAGGGAATATCCCAGCTAGCACACCTACATCGGGCCGACATTGGCTTTACATCGGCAACCGCCGGCAATATCAGCATCGGCAAACTGCAGCGGTCCGCTGTCGGGCCAATATGCTGCAGCGGTCCGCTGTCGGGCCAATATGCTGGTGATTGGCACTGACATTGAACCTGATATATGATTTGATAACATAAAAGAAAAAACACATTTGTCGATTACAACGTGACAAATATTAGAGAGAGAGAGAATAATGTTTATTATAGTGTCACATGTTATATACACTTCATACTAAAACATGTACATGAACAGTAAAATATAACATCCGACCAGGTATGGCCTACGAGACACTAGACGTAAAAGCAAATTATAACGTCATGATCTGGGTAAGGTAAAATAAGACATATACTAACACAATGTTTAAAATTAAGGTTGGGTTATGAACACGCACGCACGCACGCACGCACGCACGCACGCACGCACGCACACTCACACTCACACGCCAAATTACTTATAAAGTCACGCACACAATCATACACAAACACGTAGGTACACACACACACACCCCACCATACCATGCACACACACACGCACACACAAACACACGCACTCACACATACATACCCTACGTACATTATAACCCCCCCCCCCCCCCCCCCCACACACACACACACACACACACACGCACTACGCACACACGTACACATATACCATACGTAGATTATACGCCCCACCCCCCACCCCACACACACACACACCCAACACAGGGGTGCATTTATCCTCACCGACACTCAACATAAGCATTACAAGTATAACATTGATCACAGGAAGAAATACTACAATTCGCAAGCATAATGACATACATACGGAAAAGCGCACACAGACTCAAATGAGTGACAAGCGTCTTTGGAACATTTGATCAATTAGCTTACAAAGAGTATAACACCCGAGTTCACATCTGAGTAATGATATAAATTTCTCGGTTGAAGATAAGTTTTTAAAATCTGGCATTCATTCACACATATCGTTCATTACATCATAACGTAAATCATCATACATGTTACAATCAATTAAGAAGTGGACCTCAGTCTCTACTGAGTTAAAACAAAAAGGGCAAGTTCTATCCTGAAGGGGGATAGGGGGACGACTGTACCTCATTTTTTCAATGTTAATGGGGAGGCTGCCACTGCGTAAAAGTGCCAAATATTTTCTGGTGTTTCTATGGATATAGTTTGATAAGACATAGGGCTCAGGCACTAGATCCTTCTTAAGCAATCTATAGGTCCTCAGCTTATTACCATTAGGGTTATTAGCATCATTCCACAGCTCTGAAAACCAGGCAGTTTCATCCACTTGAAATAATTTTTGCTTAATGAGAGTGAACTGGCCACGTGTCATCGAATGGACATCGATCAAGTCGACGACGTTTAAGTTTCTAGCTAGCTTGTAAACCTCCTTTTCCCATGAGCGCCCTCTTTTATTAGATCAAGTATATTTACGAATAATACAATAATTCTTCTAGTAACAATACAAAATGGTAATTTCAAAAGACATAGTTTTAGACTGTTGTCGATGTGTAACCTCATTAGTCTTTAATTTCTCATCTGAGAAAATACTGTAAGCAATAACAAGTGATAACTCCGCTTAATACCTCTTCAAACTATTTCCTGTGGGATCACAGTTTACTAGATTTTGTGATACAATATAACAAGTAGTGTAACCAAGAAACACTTCTTCACCTGCAAGTTAACAATGACAGTATTTAACCCTTTGGTTAGCATATACTTGCACGCTGTTAATACTTAAGGATTGACTGTGTATTTTTTTTGGTTCATTGAGGTATGAATGGAAAAAACGATGTGCAAACTGTATGAATAAGCGTTGAGGTTTGAATGGAAAAACCGATGTGCAAACTGTATGAATCCGCGTTGAGGTATGAATGGAAAAACCGATGTGCAAACTGTATGAATCAGCGTTGAGGTTTGAATCGAAAAACCGATGTGCAAACTGTATGAATCCGCGTTGAGGTATGAATGGAAAAACCGATGTGCAAACTGTATGAATCAGCGTTGAGGTTTGAATCGAAAAACCGATGTGCAAACTGTATGAATCCGCGGATTCATACAGTTTGCACATCGGTTTTTCGATTCAAACCTCAATGAACCGAAAAAAATATACAGTCAATGCTTATAATTAAATTCGACATGTTTTATCTACAATAGTTTAACCCAAAACAGTTGCATATATGAAAACAGACAAAAATGACGACATTGATAAACATTCCAGGTGTAGGAATACATACAGTGGCGTGACATGAATCAGGTGATCGTTTAATTTATGCACATAACTTGACACGCCTACACAGTCAGTAGCCAATCAACGGAGAGTGGGATTAAAACAATGTTCACTGGACCTGTCAATTAAGGCAAGAGGCGAAAAGAACTGCAACAGTCAGACTGTAACGAACCGGAAGAAATATGTCCGAGAGAAGGCGGCTGTTTCAAATAACATGGTCATTTGCTGCGTGATTCAACCATTACTTCCCTGATTACGGTAAAACACAGTTGGAGGAATGCTAGTTAGAAATGAAACCCGAAGACATGAAAGTTCAACCGAGGCGAGCTGGAAAAAAACAGGCGAGCGAGCCTGCACGTTTGCTGTTTCATTCATTCTCAGCCTTCGGTTTCAAAGGGTAGTTTGGACAATGAATATGCATGAACGTCGTTAAATGTCCTGTGCATGACGATACGCGTGAGCAGAAAGGGAATTCCCTCGACTGTAATATTGAGATTCCCTGACATTCCGCAGTAATAAAACTAGTGCGCCGTGGTGGGCGTGGCTTAATTTTTTACATTCATTGGGAAATAAATGCAATAACAAGTGACCAATTCAGCTAATCAGAATGCAGGAATTTCCATGAACACAACAAATTTACAAATTTAATCATTAGAGAGTATCTTCTATTAAGCATAACAAATTATACTTTCAGCAGACATAGTTTAGACTGTTGCCATTGTGTAACCTTATTAGTCTTTAAATTCTCAAATTAGAAAATAATGTGAGCAAATATAACAAGTGATAACTCCAACCTTTACATTTTTAAACTCTTTTCCAATGAAATTATTGATCTAATAATATGAAGACCGTTACTTTTCTGCGTCCTCCTGCGAAACATTTTTAGAATTGTTGTAGCTAAACACTTTGTATATGTGGGTTATTCATCAAGAGCTTAAGCTTATCTACATCATAACAAAGGATGTTTTTTTACACTTGTATACTTCGTCTTAGTGCCCGCCCGGCGCACCGCTAGCATTCCATGCACGTAGGTCTGTAGATGTTATGTTTCCAGCATTCATGATGTAACCACTTCCGGGACCACGTGGACCTTCTTCTGCAGCTAGACCTCTCACAGCTTCATCTTTCTGTCAAAAAACAGAAGTAAATGCATAAAGGAATAATGCAGGATAAGGATTCAAATGTAGAAATATTTACACATCATTAAATTTGGTGATAAAACATAACCCACATCAAAACATCAAACCCACACAACTCCTGCAAACTATGACCCTTAAAGGGCAAGTTCACACGGAAATGAACCTAATTTTCTTGTACTTTTTCCACAATAAAAGTGTTAACCTAGAAGTGTCATAGACAAAAATATAAAAATATCACAATTAATTAACATATGTTTTGCATTAAAACGATTTATATTTTTCACATTTACCAAGTGTTCTATTTCCATAACAAAGCTTATGCCCCTTGCAATATGACGTCATTGGTGCCAATTGATAAACATTATGACGTCATCATGCTTTGTTAGAGCCGCTTCACGTGGTGTAGGTATAGGTGTGTGATTCTAGCGTCTCAGATGCCAGCCAGCATAGTGTAATGCTGAGTCACCACTGCGCCGGAGTGTGTCGTAGGCCATGTTGTTTTACCGAAAACTGGTACTTGATATCTTTTGCGTTCAGAATAGACAGGGACCCAGTTGAATTGGCACCAATTACGTCATAATCTAAGGGGGATAACTCAGGCCTGTTTAGCTCGAAAAACGAAGGCCTCATAACGGCATATCATTTTCACACAATTGTGAGCTTCCTACTTTCACTGTGAAAAAAGTGAGTGTATATTTTTAAACACAGATACTAACTTATTCTAAAATTGCGTTTTGTTTAGAAAAAGAAAGAAAGTGATTTTTGCGTGTACACTTCCCCCTTAAGCCTGTTAACTTTTTAGCCCACCCAAGTCTTTATTCACACTTATTATCCTTGTAATTCTTTATTATGTATATAATTCATTTTGGTATACAAGGGCCTATTTGGTCCCGATAACCTTAGGTTGCTTCCGGGAGCTGACAAAAATGAGAATTGGATGTTCAGTCTCAGTGACTTGGCTTATCTATCAAGACTTTACATGAGGGCGTCATTCCCTTCCGTGCCATATACACTCTGGCACCACTAAGAATGGGCTGTGACCTTGTTACTCAGAGAAGACCGTGTCTGCACACTATGCAATTCATCTGCTGTTGGAGACGAATTTCACTATCTTTTTAGGTGTGAAGCACTTCTCCAACAACGCCTTCTTTACATCCCACAGAATTGTTATATCTGGCCAAATATGTGTAAATTGCGTAAAACATTATCATCTAAAAATATATCCACTTTGAAACATCTGTCCAAATTCATCGTACATTTGAACACATTATTGCGTTAAGGTGTCTAATTTTATTTCTTCTTCTTCTTCTTATTTATTTATTTATTTATTTATTTATTTATTTATTTATTTATTTTATTTTTTATTTAGGCTTGTTACCATCTTGATCTGCATTGTATATTATATGTTGTATATATATATATACTCTTGTACCACCGTTGGTGGTTTATCAGAGAAATAAAACTGAACTGAACTATTTATGATGGCCTCATGTCATGATAGAGGCGTGAAACATGCTTAAAATGTTTAATATTGCTGACCATGGCGTTAAACAACATTCACTCAAAGGTGTGTTTGTGAAGCAAAGATGGTATTTGTACACATGCATTTTAAGGAAATAAAGAATGTTTTAATGTTTATGGTCTATGGGCTCTTTGTTATTTTCAGTAAATATGATGACAGTTCATTTGGTTTACACACACAAAGGGAGCTACCTCTGCTTTGTATATATACTACAATTGTTATATTTATATTAACGCCACTGACAAAAGAAATGGCCTCGTGTATTTTGTCATGTAAATTAGACAGGAGGCGAACATTGGTCTGGGCAAATGACAGCTACAAACTGTTTATATTGCCTTATATATTGGGTTTGGGAAAATCATCGCGGGTACCCCACAGCTGGTATTATACAATTGTTTTTGTTGTTTTTTATATTTACGCCAACTAACAGATCGCTGTACACATTATTAGAAAATGTTGGGGTAGCGGCAATGATTGCCCCACACTCTATATATATACAAGGCCATTTGTGCAACAAGTTGTCCCTTTCCCAGACCAATGCCCGTCCCCCGTACAAATAATAATTGTATAATACTAGTTATGGGGGTATAGTGGCGATGATTTTCCCGCAGCCAACGCAAGGCAATATGAACAGTGTGCAGTTGTTCCTTTCCCAGACAGGGGCACGGGTGGCCCAGTCGTCTAAGGTGCCGTGATTCGCTGTGCAGAGTTGCGTCCCTTGAACACGCCAGAAATCTATGATTGTGGGTTCGAATCCCGGTTCCCCCCGATTATGTTTCTAGGTTTGTCAGCACCATACCCGTGCTCGTGGGTTTCACCGAAGTGGAAAACGTCTGAGACCTGCATCACTTCGGGCTTTCCTCCCACATTAAGCTGACACACCGAGATACAACTGGAATACTGCTAAAAGCGGCGTAAACCCAACACACTCACTCTTTTCCCAGACCAATGTTCGCACCCCGCATAAAATAATATGAAACATACGCAATGCTCTTTCTTCATAATAATGTCTAAGAGTGACCTTTCAGTGGACCGAATAAAAAAGCATTGAATTATACCCATTGTAGGGGTAGCCACGAGGATTTTTACACATCTAAAAAAAGGCAATATGAAGACTCTGTAGTTGACACTTTCCAACGTACGCCTCTCGTTTAATTGATGTGGAAAATACACAAGGATGTTTCTTTTATATAATAGTAATGTGTAGAGTGACCAGTCAGTGGCTTGAGTATACAAATATTAATTGTATTAAACTAGTTGTAGGGGTAGCGGCGATGATTTACACACACTCTATATACAAGGCCTTATGAAGTGTCTGTAATTGTCTGTAGTTGTTTATAAAATATGGAAAATACGCAAAGCTGTTTTTCATAACAATGTGTAGGGTCGCTACAAAGAATACATTCTGAAGAACGTTGAATAGATTAGTGAAGTGAGTCGGGTTATAGCAAAAACGGCACCTCAGCAAAACGTCACCGGGCGAAAACGGCACCGATTGGCGAAAACGGCACCTCGACTCAAGTGAAAACGGCTACTATTGCCTGGCGAAAACGGCACCTTATTTTTTGTTTACCTTGGTAAAAAAAGTGCTATTAAACTTATATGGTAACTTGCAAACACCAATAATTGTGAGATGCTAAAACAAGTTTACATTAGAAATTAGCCTCTACTCCAACTATAATCCAACTTAGCTTATACGCAACACAACTTATTGTGAAAACATGACATGCTTTGAAGAAAAATAATAGAAATTAAACTCACGTCGTCTTTACAAACACAAATAATTGTGAAATTGTGAAATAAAACAAGTAAGAAATGAGACCCCTACTCCAATTTACTCGCCGACTGCTTGGGAGGCGCAGTTAACTTAATGTGAAAACACTATACACTTTTAAGTACCTTTACTCAATTTAAACTGAAACTGTATTTAAGAGGCCGAACATGGTGCTGTCAGATCACAATTATTCACAATGGCCTTTCGATGTGTTGCATGAGAGAAGAATGTCAGAAAACAACAACATGCTGTGATAACTGTGACCATGTAAATAAAACATATATATTACTACAAAAATCGTTCTTATCATTATTGAAAATAGAGTTGCCGTTTTCGCCCGACACATAGTAGCCGTTTTCGCCAAATGCGGTGCCGTTTTCGCCAGAGAAATCGATGACGTTTTGCTGAGGTGCCGTTTTAGCCTGCACCCAAGTGAGTCAGCATAAATGGCACTGGCTTGCAAGTTTTCCTGGAATGCGTGCATTAATATTTATTACGTCACAGGGTAAGTGATGTGTCAGTCAGACAGTCAGTGACACTAGCCAATATAGTTCCAACTGAAATCTGTTTCTTATACAGTGGCAAAGCAACATATACACAAAACAACAATTGTTATAACTTGCCTTTCGCGGCAATCCATCGGTCTGTCCGCTAGAGTAACTGCCCTTTGTCAAAGGGAAGCTACTCTAACCCTAGTCTATTAGGCGTCAGGGCCACGGTCAGACGTTGTTGGCAGTCGGTGTGTCCTGTTATAACGTTAAGAAGTGTAGTCAGATGTACACACAGCGACAAAACGAAACAAGGTAACAATTCAAACATATTTAGGCAAAATCCAACTATTTCAATTTGTGGAGAAGGTTTCAAGCTGCAGAGCTCTACAAGCACAGATATGGCTACTGATCCCGCTTGGCTAGGCCTCGTGCCTTCGCAAAATTGTTTCGAAATTTATATCTCCAAAGCTACGTCACAGTTAGACACTGATTATCAGTATATTAGACTGTTCTTCTGATAATGACGGCAATTATCCCTGTCGTTTATCCAGATTCCCGATGGAATTTGCATCTCTATCCGCATATGACCCCAACGGATATCGTTTGAATCCGTTGGCCGAGAAACCTACCCATTATATGATAAATGATCATACATTACCACGATGTCTAAAGAGACTGAATCAAACCACAGATGATCTCAATAGTCACCCCACTAAACAGTACAGATAAAACAAAATGGCTTTAAATGTGTTAAAATTGAATGAGCTTGGTCGAGTAAGTATATTTACATATTATATATATAAGAATACTGCGTTCGTAATATTTATTCAGACAAAAATGTATGGAATTGTTATAATTTGACTGGGATTTGTCTATTATTAGCCGCGCATTTCGTTTTGTCGTGCGGAAGCTTAAATACAGTATAGTTGAACTACACGCGCGAGTATAACAGGCATACCTCTCGATAAACATAGCTCTGAGGCCTGGTCTGGGAAAGGGACGTAAACTGACTCAGTCGTCGCTATTTTACACACTTTTCGAGACAGTGTGTTTGTGTTAGTTTTATCGACTATTGCGCTTTTCAAGGGAGACAACTCAGCACAACTGTCCAATTCGCGTCTTATATTGCAAGCTAATTAAAGTCAGCCAGTTCGCGTGTTTTAAGACTGCTTATGACACTATGATAAAAGGACATGCCATC